CACTCATACACTTATTTATCTAACACACACACTCAGTCTACATTTCAATTTGCACATAATATACCTGTACATACAACTGTCTATTGTTGTATACCTGTACATACAATTGTCGATTTGTATATTTTTATTCCTTATTTACGTTCTATTTTTCTATTTTTTATTATCTGTGTTTTTGTTCTGTCACTGTCATTCTGTTACACTGTGGAGCTTCTGTCATGAAAACAAATTCCTCATATGTGTAAACATACCTGGCAATAAAAACTCATTCTGATTCTGATTCTGATTCTGATTATTATAATAAAACGTTGTGCATTCTTTGGGTTTAGTTGCCGTGTTTCAGCGCGTTGTTATGGGAAGATCGCATCCACAACCGGATCACACATTCTGACTATAGCATGCAATAACTGCGTCATTTTGTACATATATAAGTTGTATTATTATGTTTATGTTGTATTAATATTAATCTCAGGATGCATTTCCTTGAGTTAAATAAGCTGCCAGCAAAACGCTTCAGTTTACCGTGTTCATTCAGCTCTTCAGCTTCAGCACGCGCAGCTCAACGGCTGCTATTTAAAACAGTGGTATTAATTTGTTACTTTTTCAAAATCATTGATACATTATTAATAACAACAACCACTTGTATTTTTCTCTTATTATTTTCATCAACAATATGGTTTAGTAATTAAAATCATTTAATTATTGTCCGTGCAGAGGCTATTCCTTTTTATTGATCTATGGCGCATTCATTTTGATTCTTTACACGTGTAATGATGTCCAGTGACTTGTTTGCATTATTTATGCATTATTTTGTTTATTTGTAAGACTTTTTTATGACTAAATTTGGTAATGGGAGAGTAAAAATATTTTTAAAATGTACACCGTTCAAACTAGGCTACTTATGTTGAAGTGTTTGGGATGTGGTTTTTAATGATGAGACCTTTTTTGTAATCAGGCTCTCAAAAAGTATATAACAATTTGGATATAGATTTATCGGCCAACATATCGGTTATCGGCTTTCAAATATAAAGAATAATCGGTTATCGGTATCGGCCAAAATTTTCATATCGGTGCATCCCTACTTGCAATAAAATATAGGCCATAGTTAACATGGCATTTGTTTTTTTGGTGTCTGATTTTTGCTGAAATACCGCTATGGTTGGTCTTTTAAAGTCACTTGCTAAAACTTCACTTGAGCAAAATGGGACTGTGAATTTTGTTCGCGTTTTTATCTGAAAGGTTGTCCCACCCTAATTCGTTGTAAAAGCACATCAGCACTGATATGAATTATGCTTACTAGAATAAAAATAATCTGTTTCAGTGTCAGATAAGGACGCAACTTTTAGACTTCCCTGGTTGGGTGGATATGCATTTTCCAGCACACATAAACGTGTCTCTGCAAGACATTCATCTCGTCCAACGCAAATATAACGGAGTTCACTCCCATGATGACGCTAGTAACAGGCAGCAACATTTTCTATCCAGTGCTCCTTCTATATGTTATCGTTTGACTCTCCAGGTCGTTCCAGCGGCTTTCCCATGTGTGGCGGGGCTCCCCAACTTCCGTATGCTGACATAATTCCATTTGGGAGGAGTAAAGTTAACGTTGACGCACATGGCCTGAACAACAATCAGTGCTGCGTTTCCCAAAAGCATCTAAGTTATGGTCGTAAGTTCCGTCGTAAAACGGCTTGCCATACGTTAACAACAGAGGGCAATGACGATGCTTTTGGGAAACGCAGCCCAAAATGATTAATTTTTTATCCATCTTGCTCGAGTCTCAAACCACCTGCTCATCATGAGTTTCAGTGGTTATTGTGTTACCACCAGCTATCGCTAGGGGGCAATGTAACACACAGAAATATTGAAAACAGATTTACTGACAGAATAATAATAAAAAATAACAATAACTCTCAATATAATACTCAAATGTGGTAGTACACTTGGGTTATTGTATTTAAATGAACTGCAGCTGATCAGTAAACTACAGTTAGGCGATGTAGGCTATTATTATTACATAAAATACTGCAGTTGTGTATGTATTTAAAAAGTGACTACTTTAAATGAAATAAATTTAAAAAGAAAAATCCCCTTTCAGGATACAGTATTTTAAAGATATTTTTGTAAAATCCAAATAAGCTTTACTGATTTAAATAATTGCCCATACTTGTTTAATGAACCATAAACAATTATTGCACATGCACCTGAGGAAAAGTCCTTTAGACAACAGTTTAAGGGTGGCAATAAGGTCACAATAGCTTATATTGTTATTATTCCATTTCTGTTCATCAAATGCCTGTGAAACATGTTCATTTGCAGTTGTTTAACTTAATGTTAAAACAAATTTTTACACATAAGTAAAGAAATTTGCTAGAAATAAAAGCAGTTGATCATGAGAGGAGGTTTCTTTATATACTTCTATAGTTTAAATATACAGTAAATATACATATAAGTAGCTGTGTTATTGTTAATTTCATAATTTTTCTGTCTTTTTTTCTTGCCATTTTATAATTGGCAACTTATCTACAGCAGATAATTGATTATTTGAATTACAGTAATGCTTAATATCTACTCAAAGTCTTTAGCAAATATTTGATAATGGCTCCTAAAAATAACACCTTTGCTCTAAGCGGATGTGCAAAAGGTTCAGTAAACTTTTTATAAACTTTCCACCTCTTCAACTATGGGTAAAAATATTAAATAATCAGATCAGCCTAATCTTGATAAAAGATTCAAGTCCCCACAGCAATTCCAAAATATCCAGAAAATGATTTTAAAAAATAGGGAATTTTAAGATTATTTGATTTTTATTTACACTGTATCTAACTGTAGAAAAAAGAAAAAGTACTGGTTATTTTCTGCTATGACATTAACTGTTAAGTTTCCGGACATTGCCCTTTCACCCTAAAATACAACACAATGTAAAATACAGGTAAAACACCTTTGAAAAATATTTACAATTTCTTCATATTAACACAGTTCTTAGGACCCCATTTTACAGACTTTTTTACAGAGCCTATTATTATGTTTTTTATTTGTCCTACACTCTTTATCTTTGCAGTAAAACAGGCTGAAATCATGAAGTGTGTGTGTTATTCTTTTGACCTTTACACATTAAAGAACTTGATACAAATCAGTAAAAACATTTTGGCATTTCAATTTTTTTTTTAACCAAACTTACCACAAACTTAAGAAATAGACGTTGCCATCCCTCCTTCATTTCTATATACCGCGTATGAAAAAAAGGGATTTGACTACAAATTGCAAGTATAAAACAAAGTTTTCTCATGTTTTAATAAAATAATCCGTTTTCAAACATGAATCACAGGAAATAATCACAAAAACATCAAGTGAACTGCTTTTAATGACTCAATTAAAACTAGATTATACTATTTTCTACTCTTTGTGTGCTGATGGGACTGTTAAGGATCTTTGACACTGAAGGGTATTGACTTAACTCCAAAGTGTCATAAAGATCATTATCTTTAGTTATTAACCACTAGAATGGGTATACAGAGACATGTACATGTAATCGGATTCTCAGTCTCTGATAAGACATTAATTATTGCCATGCATAGAGTCCCAGTCACAGCCGTTCTTTACACATTCAGCTGACAGGACATTTTCCCCATCTTCAAGACACACCGTGACTCACTGGCCCAGTGGGATGATGTCAAAGTTTGCTACATATACTTACTGCATCCACTCAGAAAGTCCTAATCTCCCACAGCTCCCTGCTGTCGACACCATCAGAGATTCACTCACAGATACCTACTGCTAACCAACAGTGAGGCCGCAGGGAGCCCAGGAGATCATGAAGCTGAAGTTGCCGAACCCAGGCCTGGAGGACAGGATCCTGAGCCATGATGAGCTGGAACACCTGGAGGTGGAGGAGGCTGGAGACAGACCCAAGTGGGACAACAAAGCCCAGTACATGCTGACCTGCGTGGGGTTCTGTGTGGGTTTGGGCAATGTCTGGCGCTTCCCATACCTGTGCCAGAGTCATGGAGGAGGTGAGTGCTTGCTGGGTTTTTGAGGGACTGAATTATAGTGGATCTGTGCTCTAACCACATAGAGGCCTTCATTTTACAGTGTAAACAAAATAGGTTAAGTTAAATGTATAACAAATGGCTTGAAATGTATACAAAATATGAGCTCACCTTTTTTTTTTCTTTACATTTTTGTATCTATTTTGTATCTGTATTTTTTGTTTGTAAGCAGCATTTTTCACATATCTTTATTTATTTTATTTTTCCCCTTCGGCGTAGCTTAACATATCAGATTAAATTAACATTCATTATTGTCATCTCAAAAACTGAATAACATTTTCAATAATATAACTTATTATTATTAATACAATGAAATAATCATAATAATAAAACATTATTATAGTGTATGTATTTTGGAGGGGGGTTTTGCAGCAAGGTAATGATTTGCCGATTTAAATTATTTTAATGTGGCGAATTCATCTTGGCATGTGATCAACAAATGTTTGCATTTTCTACTTTTCAAATGCTTTTTATGCAGATTGTATTATTTCAACCTTGCCCCAGATCCAGAAGTTAAATATTAAACTATGAAAATTCATCATAAAAATATTAAAAAATATATATTTTTTTAAACAGAGTGAAATAGGCATAAACCAGTTCATATTTTGTTGTGTGAAAATTATGTATATCAAATTCTAGACAAATTATGCCCCTCAATTGTGGGGCATAAACGACCAACAATTTTGCCCCTAATAACTATTTTTCAAAAGTTAGTGTACCAAGAGATAAAATATGAGACATTTGATGTGTGAAGTAAATATATATATATATATACTGTATATATACTGTATAGTATATATAGAGACAGAACATCATCAAACACAATACTGTAAGTGAGAACTTTCATTTGTTGAGTTAACATTCTCTGTAATTCAATTAAACAAACAAATGAGAATATGAAAAGTTAAGAGATTTTTTCCTTTCTAGCTAAAGAAATAAAATAATTCCTATAATTCACTAATTTATATTAAAATAATTATATTCAATTATACTAATAATATTAAAATAATAGATTAATTACTTCAATGCAAACAATTATGAGCAATAAATGTATACCTTATAAAAGTTTACGATACTAGAGCTTTCAAAATACTACTAAAGTTATTGCAATAAAACTGCATTAATGTTACTAGTCACTTCTCTCATCAAAAATAAAATAATTAAGATTCTGAAAGCTTCTTTGAAGGAGTTCCTGCATTAATCTATTATGGCTTTACAATACTAACTGTGACTATAGTGACTATGCAGCTATATTCTTTAATATGGTTATAAACTCTGATTACTCTGGTATAAATTTGTGTAAGGGATTTTCTTTTATGGGATGCTATCAAAAAGCGTTGTCTCTTAAAGCCTCTTATTGATTTTCACAGGTTTCCGGTAAGTGCAATAAATGTATGTAACTTTTTTACCACAGACCTCAGCTTGAGGTTAACTAGACAGCGTGGTAAGATCACTTTAAGTGAGAACTCCTCATGGATCACAGCGTCCCAGCCAACCATTAACTCAACTGCAACGAAAATGGCTGACAATGGAATCTGTTCCAGAAATGACTTTGCTCCTTTTAAGTAGCCAAAAAAGAAATAAATAAATAACCCTTAATGGAAATTTACAAATTAATTATTTCAACTGAGTAATTGTATACTATATTTAATATAGCCTACTTTTATATACAATCTATTAAAGGGTTAGATCACCCAAAAATGTAAATTCTGTCATCATTTACTCACCCTCAAATTGTTCCAAACCTGTATGAATTTTTTTTTCTTCTATTCAACATAAAAGACAACATTTTGAAAAATATGGGTAACCAAACAGTTGATGATCCCCATTGACTTCAATAGTTTGAGTCTTATCTCTCAGATAGGTCCTTCAAGGTATATTGGAGAGGTGAGGTGTCCAAGTCGCAACATCTAACTACTGGGCTGCCTCAGGGCTCAGTTCTTGGACCACTTGTCTTCTCTGTCTACATGGCATCACTAGGTTCTCTCATTCAGAATCATGGCTTTTCATATCATTGCTATTCTGATGACACTAAACTCTAACTCTCATTCCATCCTGATGATCTGACGATAGCTGCTCGCATCTTAGCTTGTCTAACAGACATTTCTTGCTGGATGAAGGACCATCACCTTCAACTCAACCTTGCCAAGACAGAACTGCTTGTGGTTCCATCAAAGCCATCGTTTCATCACAATTTCACCATCCAGTTAGGCACATCAGCTCCTTCAAAAACAGCCAGAAACCAGAGTTGTGATTGATGATCAGCTGACTTTCTCAGACCACATTGCTGAAACTGCCTGGTCCTGCAGATTTGCTTTATTCAACATCAAGAAGATCAGGCCCTTTCTTTCTGAACATGCTTCACAAATCCTTGTTCAAGCTCTTGTTCTGTCCAGGCTGGACTATTGCAATGCTCTCTTGGCAGGTCTTCCAGCCACTTCTATCAAACCTTTACAATGAATCCAGAACGCGGCAGCAAGATTAATTTTTAATGAGCTGAAAATAATGCACATCACACCTCTGTTTATCAATTTGCACTGGCTACCAGTAGCTGCTCGCATAAAATTCAAGGCATTAATGTTTGCCAACAAAACCACCACTGGCTCTGCACCCCTTTACCTAAATTCATTACTTAAGACTTATGTGCCCTCTAGAAGCCTGCATTCTGAAGAGGCACAAAATCACTTTCACAGACTTTTAAATTAAATGTTCCCTCCTGGTGGAATGACCTGCCCATCTCAATCCTAGCAGCTGAGTCTTAGCCATCTTCAAGTATTGGCTAAAAACACATCTCTTCCATCTTTATTTGACCCTCTAACTCTAGCACTCCCTATTCTAATTCTATTCTTTATGGGGGGGAAAAGCTTGCCCCTTACACTAGCTTCTCTAATCTTTTTGTATTATATCTATTTGTTTTCTTTTTATTTATTATAGAATTAACAAAATCAAAAAAGGCCTCTAGCTTACTCTGTTCTTTTTCTAATCTATCTGTTTTCTTTTTATTTATTATATAATTAAAAAAAAAACTTGCTACGTGTACTGCGTTAAGCTAACTGAGACTTGCTATAGCACTTGCATATCATTGCTTTCTTGTTGATTTTGATTGCTTCCATTGTCCTCATTTGTAAGTTGCTTTGGATAAAAGCATCTACTAAATGACTAAATGTAAATGTAATAGTATGAATAAAAATGTAATTGTATTTAAGGAATTTGCAATTGTATTGATAGATTGAATTTGAGTTTATGACACATTTGTGGTGGAAAACACCAAACCACAAGATGTGAAAAGCATCAATGACATATTACATGCTAATGTAAATAATATTTATTTTCTTTCAGGGGCTTTCATGATTCCCTTCCTAATCCTGCTGGTTTTGAGGGGATTCCTCTCCTCCATCTAGAGTGTGCCATCGGTCAGCGGCTAAGAAAACCAAGCATTGGGGTGTGGAGAACTATTAACCCCTACATGCTAGGTGTTGGTGAGCAAAATATTGAATATGTATTTAAGGAATTTGCAATTGTATTGATAGATTGAATTTGAGTTTATGACACATTTGTGGTGGAAAACACCAAACCACAAGATGTGAAAAGCATCAATGACATATTACATGCTAATGTAAATAATATTTATTTTCTTTCAGGGGCTTTCATGATTCCCTTCCTAATCCTGCTGGTTTTTGAGGGGATTCCTCTCCTCCATCTAGAGTGTGCCATCGGTCAGCGGCTAAGAAAACCAAGCATTGGGGTGTGGAGAACTATTAACCCCTACATGCTAGGTGGTGGTGAGCAAAATATTGAATATTACATTAAGTATAATACAAATAATAGAGATTGTAGGCAAATAGATGGGGTCAGTTTTTATTTTTGAAGAAGAAATTAATATTTTTATTCAGTGAGAATGAAATAAATTGAGTAAAGACATCTATACTTTAAATAAATAAATAAAAGACTTGGTAACACTTTATTTTAAGGTGTCCTTGTTACACATGTTAAATGTACTTACTATTATAATAACATTTAATTATGCATAATTACATGCAAGTAACCCGAATCCTAACCCTAACCATAGTAAGTATATGTACATTACACCGTAACAAGGACACCTTAAAATAATGTGTAACCAAAGACTTCTAAGTAATGTGTCCATGTTGATTATGTGATCTAAGCAGGTTACTTCCTGTTCTGTTTCAGGTATTGCATCTATGTGTGTGTCCTTTCTGGTCAGCCTGTACTATAACACCATCATAGCCTGGGTCATGTGGTACTTCTTCAACTCCTTCCAGGAGCCACTGCCTTGGAGCCAGTGTCCCATCAATGCCAACAGGACAGGTACAGTATATGAGCACCCTGAGGAGGAACTAAATTCTGAATGTGTTTTTTTTAAATGCCACTATGGACATTTTGTTCATTATTTGGCAGGACTAGTTCCTGAGTGTGAGAGGAGCTCACCTGTGGATTATTTCTGGTATCGTGAGACTCTGAACACCTCAGCGGCCATAGAGCAGACAGGAGGTCTGCAGTGGTGGATGATCCTCTGTCTGATCTCAGCCTGGGGAGTGCTGTATGTCTGCTGTATCCGTGGAATAGAGACGACTGGAAAGGTAGAGCTGCTCAAGTAACAGCACTGATGGAAAACAAGAATATTTCAGAATTTGAAGCAGATTTACAGTATATTTACGAATGAAGTCACTTTCATAGCTTTTGTTAATTTGCTAATCCAGTTTTTCAAATGTGAAGGAGCTGCAGTTCATGAAATGTAAAATATAAAAAAAAATTACAGTGTTTTCACCATCAGAGAAGCTCAGTTTACAGTAAACACTGCTTCTTTATTTCTTTATTTATTTATTCATTCATTAATTTATTCATTTATAACTAATTATTAGGTCATATGAAACTAAAAATATATGTAAAATATATGCTGTAAAATAATATGCAATATATAAATAATACATTTCCATACAGGTATATGCAAATATATATACAGTACAATTTAAAAATTACAGTAAAATTTGTACAGAGTTTTTATATGAAGTTTATTATTGAACATAAAATAACATACAATATGTAAGGAAATTTATTGTCACATATTTTTCAATATATGAATATATGTGTAACATGTATGTCTTGTGTTTCCATTGTGTTGCTGGCTTGACCTAGTTTTCCTATGTTCTAATTTAGTTCATTCTGTCCACCTGTTGTCTTGTTAGTTACCTCATTAGTTTGTTTGGTTCATGCTTATAAGTCCTCAGTTTCTTATGTATTATTCTGCATTCTAGATTATTCTACAATAAATAATTGAATATATTGATTGGCAATATATAAGGAAATATATTTTCTTTGTGTAAGGGTCAATCATTATATATATATAAAAATATAAATTCTACTGGACAATTGTAATTTACCAAAGTAATATTATCTTAATTTTTATAATTAGAATAAAATAACAACAACAATACTATGCCCTCTATATGTACATCCCTATATAAATATATTTTTAATAAAAACAATAAAAATAAAAGTCTAAAAAAAGTGTAATCAGACTTATAAAGTAAATATTTTACGTCTAAGGGGTTCGACTGACAAAAAAAAAAAGTTTGGGAAGCCCTGTGCTAATCTGTAATCATTAATGCCATTAAAACAGTCAATACTCAATACAGTTATCAAAGGTTATGCCATTTTATATCATGATAAAGAACTTGATACAAATCAGTAAAAACATTTTGGCATTTCAATTTTTTTTTTAACCAAACTTACCACAAACTTAAGAAATAGACGTTGCCATCCCTCCTTCATTTCTATATACCGCGTATGAAAAAAAGGGATTTGACTACAAATTGCAAGTATAAAACAAAGTTTTCTCATGTTTTAATAAAATAATCCGTTTTCAAACATGAATCACAGGAAATAATCACAAAAACATCAAGTGTACTGCTTTTAATGACTCAATTAAAACTAGATTATACTATTTTCTACTCTTTGTGTGCTGATGGGACTGTTAAGGATCTTTGACACTGAAGGGTATTGACTTAACTCCAAAGTGTCATAAAGATCATTATCTTTAGTTATTAACCACTAGAATGGGTATACAGAGACATGTACATGTAATCGGATTCTCAGTCTCTGATAAGACATTAATTATTGCCATGCATAGAGTCCCAGTCACAGCCGTTCTTTACACATTCAGCTGACAGGACATTTTCCCCATCTTCAAGACACTCCGTGACTCACTGGCCTGGTGGGACGATGCCAAAGTTCACAACATATACTACCTGCATCCACTCAGACGGTCCTCATCTCCCACAGCTCCCTGCTGTCGACACCATCAGAGATTCACTCACAGATACCTACTGCTAACCAACAGTGATGCCGCAGGGAGCCCAGGAGATCATGAAGCTGAAGTTGCCGAACCCAGGCCTGGAGGACAGGATCCTGAGCCATGATGAGCTGGAACACCTGGAGGTGGAGGAGGCTGGAGACAGACCCAAGTGGGACAACAAAGCCCAGTACATGCTGACCTGCGTGGGGTTCTGTGTGGGTTTGGGCAATGTCTGGCGCTTCCCATACCTGTGCCAGAGTCATGGAGGAGGTGAGTACTTGCTGGGTTTTTGAGGGACTGAATTATAGTGGATCTGTGCTCTAACCACATAGAGGCCTTCATTTTACAGTGTAAACAAAATAGGTTAAGTTAAATGTATAACAAATGGCTTGAAATGTATACAAAATATGAGCTCACCTTTTTTTTTTCTTTACATTTTTGTATCTATTTTGTATCTGTATTTTTTGTTTGTAAGCAGCATTTTTCACATATCTTTATTTATTTTATTTTTCCCCTTCGGCGTAGCTTAACATATCAGATTAAATTAACATTCATTATTGTCATCTCAAAAACTGAATAACATTTTCAATAATATAACTTATTATTATTAATACAATGAAATAATCATAATAATAAAACATTATTATAGTGTATGTATTTTGGAGGGGGGTTTTGCAGCAAGGTAATGATTTGCCGATTTAAATTATTTTAATGTGGCGAATTCATCTTGGCATGTGATCAACAAATGTTTGCATTTCCTACTTTTCAAATGCTTTTTATGCAGATTGTATTATTTCAACCTTGCCCCAGATCCAGAAGTTAAATATTAAACTATGAAAATTCATCATAAAAATATTAAAAAATATATATATTTTTAAACAGAGTGAAATAGGCATAAACCAGTTCATATTTTGTTGTGTGAAAATTATGTATATCAAATTCTAGACAAATTATGCCCCTCAATTGTGGGGCATAAACGACCAACAATTTTGCCCCTAATAACTATTTTTCAAAAGTTAGTGTACCAAGAGATAAAATATGAGACATTTGATGTGTGAAGTAAATATATATATATATACTGTATATATACTGTATAGTATATATAGAGACAGAACATCATCAAACACAATACTGTAAGTGAGAACTTTCATTTGTTGAGTTAACATTCTCTGTAATTCAATTAAACAAACAAATGAGAATATGAAAAGTTAAGAGATTTTTTCCTTTCTAGCTAAAGAAATAAAATAATTCCTATAATTCACTAATTTATATTAAAATAATTATATTCAATTATACTAATAATATTAAAATAATAGATTAATTACTTCAATGCAAACAATTATGAGCAATAAATGTATACCTTATAAAAGTTTACGATACTAGAGCTTTCAAAATACTACTAAAGTTATTGCAATAAAACTGCATTAATGTTACTAGTCACTTCTCTCATCAAAAATAAAATAATTAAGATTCTGAAAGCTTCTTTGAAGGAGTTCCTGCATTAATCTATTATGGCTTTACAATACTAACTGTGACTATAGTGACTATGCAGCTATATTCTTTAATATGGTTATAAACTCTGATTACTCTGGTATAAATTTGTGTAAGGGATTTTCTTTTATGGGATGCTATCAAAAAGCGTTGTCTCTTAAAGCCTCTTATTGATTTTCACAGGTTTCCGGTAAGTGCAATAAATGTATGTAACTTTTTTACCACAGACCTCAGCTTGAGGTTAACTAGACAGCGTGGTAAGATCACTTTAAGTGAGAACTCCTCATGGATCACAGCGTCCCAGCCAACCATTAACTCAACTGCAACGAAAATGGCTGACAATGGAATCTGTTCCAGAAATGACTTTGCTCCTTTTAAGTAGCCAAAAAAGAAATAAATAAATAACCCTTAATGGAAATTTACAAATTAATTATTTCAACTGAGTAATTGTATACTATATTTAATATAGCCTACTTTTATATACAATCTATTAAAGGGTTAGATCACCCAAAAATGTAAATTCTGTCATCATTTACTCACCCTCAAATTGTTCCAAACCTGTATGAATTTTTTTTTCTTCTATTCAACATAAAAGACAACATTTTGAAAAATATGGGTAACCAAACAGTTGATGATCCCCATTGACTTCAATAGTTTGAGTCTTATCTCTCAGATAGGTCCTTCAAGGTATATTGGAGAGGTGAGGTGTCCAAGTCGCAACATCTAACTACTGGGCTGCCTCAGGGCTCAGTTCTTGGACCACTTGTCTTCTCTGTCTACATGGCATCACTAGGTTCTCTCATTCAGAATCATGGCTTTTCATATCATTGCTATTCTGATGACACTAAACTCTAACTCTCATTCCATCCTGATGATCTGACGATAGCTGCTCGCATCTTAGCTTGTCTAACAGACATTTCTTGCTGGATGAAGGACCATCACCTTCAACTCAACCTTGCCAAGACAGAACTGCTTGTGGTTCCATCAAAGCCATCGTTTCATCACAATTTCACCATCCAGTTAGGCACATCAGCTCCTTCAAAAACAGCCAGAAACCAGAGTTGTGATTGATGATCAGCTGACTTTCTCAGACCACATTGCTGAAACTGCCTGGTCCTGCAGATTTGCTTTATTCAACATCAAGAAGATCAGGCCCTTTCTTTCTGAACATGCTTCACAAATCCTTGTTCAAGCTCTTGTTCTGTCCAGGCTGGACTATTGCAATGCTCTCTTGGCAGGTCTTCCAGCCACTTCTATCAAACCTTTACAATGAATCCAGAACGCGGCAGCAAGATTAATTTTTAATGAGCTGAAAATAATGCACATCACACCTCTGTTTATCAATTTGCACTGGCTACCAGTAGCTGCTCGCATAAAATTCAAGGCATTAATGTTTGCCAACAAAACCACCACTGGCTCTGCACCCCTTTACCTAAATTCATTACTTAAGACTTATGTGCCCTCTAGAAGCCTGCATTCTGAAGAGGCACAAAATCACTTTCACAGACTTTTAAATTAAATGTTCCCTCCTGGTGGAATGACCTGCCCATCTCAATCCTAGCAGCTGAGTCTTAGCCATCTTCAAGTATTGGCTAAAAACACATCTCTTCCATCTTTATTTGACCCTCTAACTCTAGCACTCCCTATTCTAATTCTATTCTTTATGGGGGGGAAAAGCTTGCCCCTTACACTAGCTTCTCTAATCTTTTTGTATTATATCTATTTGTTTTCTTTTTATTTATTATAGAATTAACAAAATCAAAAAAGGCCTCTAGCTTACTCTGTTCTTTTTCTAATCTATCTGTTTTCTTT